CCACAATCCGCCCACTTATGCGATAAGGGAGCCACATGCATCGCATTCTATTCTGACTAACCCTGTCTCAATGGGCCCAGGCTTTTATGGAACACACTTAGAAATTTACAAGGTGTCCTTTTTAATTCTGTTCTTGCTATCGACGATTCTCCAAGCGTTTGGTGCTGTCTTACACTGGCGTCACGAGGGCACTTTTGATTACGATCAGGGCCGATCAGGATTGGATTTATTGTTCGCAAACAACAAGGGTAGCTGTTTCACGGTCTGAACTAATCTGTATCACACTTGGCTTAGATATTAGTCAAATCACAATACGCATACCACGATGCTTTGTTTGCGATCATCTTGATCATGATCGGACTCGATTGCGAGTAAAAGTGACCGTGTAGCAGCACTTAATCTGGATTGAGCCTAATCCGGATGAGTCCAGATCGCGATTGAATAACCCGTGCAATGCAGGTAGTTGACTTTGATCTACTATCACAAAATTGCTTCTGTGAACTGTGTAATACAAGATGCTCCCACCTGGTTCCAGTGTACATAATTTCTTGGCTATGGCCAAATGATGATGCGCGAAAACAAGCAGTCTTTAGAAGTTATCCCTGCTAGCTGTAATCCCAGCTTTAGCGCTATAGACTCTGTGACTAATAAATCAAGAGAAAAATATTGTATCACTTTACGTTTAACTAGAATAGAATTTCAGTGAGTGACAACAGACAACATTAGCAAAGACATGTACGCAGTTCTTTTTTAATATAGATTTCAATGACTGACACTGGGCATGACTTGTTGCATACACAAACTCTTTCACACAAATAAAGAATGAAGAGCGTTCACACACAATGCAAAAAGCCAGTTTTAGAACATGCAAGCTGGAGAGCTTCAAGTCCACGCTGCAGAGCATGAGCATCGACAACCACTTACAGTGTTCGTTTGGAGCAGCACAAGCAGCAAAATTTGGAATGTTTGAAATATTTCATTTTTTCCTTCATGGAAGAAGCATTTTCACGACACTAATATTATACAAAAAACTGCTTAAATGCAAAATCCACACACTAACCGAGCCACACAGCTGGAAACATGACTGTCACAGCTAAAGAAATAAACTCTTCATGCAGGCATTCTACAAAGGTGATGAAAACAACGCTATAACTTGAAATGAATGAGCTTTCTGCACATTCAGTATTTTCTTTTGCTTGCAAAAGCAAAAAGCACAGATTGCACAAGCCACGCCTTGTGAGTGTTACTGCATGTGGTATGTAAGCCTCGTAACTATGATTGCAAGTGTGCACACAAATACCAGAAGTTATTCATTTCGAGTGTTAGAGCCAATAGGTTGAGTAGTGGTTCCAAGCAGTGTCGCAAAACGTTTGCACATTGTTCATGAGTTGCATATTAGGGAAATTCAGGGGGTGACGGTGTTTATCAGTGTTTATAAATTTCTACGAACCCTGAATAATGTTGCATTACTCAAATCGCCAGCATGTCTCCCTGTGGTGGCTCCACAAAGGTCATTTGTCGCTATGACTGATAACTTAGCTCCCGTATGTGTTGAATGATTTTTTTTTTGTTCGTCGCGATAGAACTTCTTTTTCATCTAGAACAGGAAACAATACAGGTTTATAATAAACACTGAAAAATGTGTGAGAACAAAACGTGATGTAACCCACATTCCCTAGCCAGCATAGAACAGCTGAAAAATGTCCTGAGACAATGATTATGAACACATGTTGTAGAACATTTCTTAAATAACAAGGAGTGGCAACAAAGACTTCTATTAGATCCCTCATAAAGCGTGTTTTAAAAAGAAGAAAGCATGTACACAGAAATAAACTTAAACATCCACTTGTTTCCTAAAAAACAGCTCATGCGAAGACATTTTTTAACTAAGTAATCTTTTAAGAGCCGAGCATGCCATTTCCAATCCAATTAAGCTATTTGCATTACAGTAATTACAATAAAAGAATACTTGAATTATATGTGACATAACCTATTCAAATCTGCCCTAATGCTCTTGGCTTCAATTTTAACAAGTACACTGAAGTCTTTTGAAAAGTTTGTAAGTAAACATATTTTAATTGGTATTTGCCACAAGCAACTTTTTAAAATTTGGTGATGTACCTACTTCTTCTGGTGGTTTCCAAGGTATTACAATAACATGCATGGGATGTACACATGAACAATCGAGAGGTGGGCTTTGTACCCTGCTAATCTCAATAGTTAAGAATAAAATCCATTTCAAGTTCCACAGATGTAAAGGGCATGCTTTTGTTGTTCACGCTGTAGCTGCCTTGTACAGCATGTTTGCAGTAGAACTGCTGCATTTAGGCCTGCTTTATGTTCAAGGGTTAAAATTTATGCCTTGCACATAAGGTATCATAATAATGTGGTAAGTAGTTGGCTTTAGTTCAGTACTGTGACACAGGAGAGAGACCAGTTACTCTTGTAAGTGAGTTTCATGGTTTCACAACTGCTTTGAGGTAATTGAACATGAGGTACAAGTATGAAAAGTGCGACAGTCACTTCTTGCAGCAATACCATCTGCCCTGCGAAAGAAAATGAGATCTTCCCCCACAGGGGGGGGGGGGAGTAGACAAGATAGATTTTGGGCATTTCTTCTATGCTTTAAATGCAAGACGAAGGTAAGCCACAGCATAAAATATGGCAGGGACAAAACGGAACTAAACAAAAAGTGTTCTATTATATTTGCTGAGGCTTGTTCTGCTGCAATCAAAGAGACTAGATCAACCTGTCAGTGTTACACACTGTTTTGAGCTAGACTTGTCTCGCAGAGCGATATGAAGCTTGAGATGCAAGTTTAAGAGAAAACAACGAAGTCATGAATGTAGTATTTTGTAGCGCAGCTATTAACAGCAAAAATGCAAGAGTTAATGAAAGAAAGTGAGTCAGTTGACTTGTTTCAAAAAAACAGCACCTGGAAAAGATTCAGGTGCGAGACTATATGTGAAGACTGTAATTCAGAAACTGCAACCTGTGCAAGTTAACATGTAGAGTTCATGAAATTAACTCTAAGCTCCAATATGCTTTGCGATAAGAGTGGAAAAAATTCCAGTTTCCAGTTTAACATCAAAAACTTATACATGGCTAATTGCAAAGGACTAGAGCAAATAGACAAAAATAAACACACAAAATAACCTTCAGTTATATAATGATATTCCTTTCTCAAAAAAAAAAGAAGAAGATAACTGAAGAGTCAGAATTATGCAGCTAAACTAAAGAACAATAACAAAGGTATATAAAAAAGCAAGAAAGTAAAGCAAGAACTGCTACAAACAACAAAAAACAAGCTTACATTTTAACCTCCATCTTCAGGAGCAATGACACTAGACACATGTAAATTGAGAATTGGAGAAACGATTCATTAAGCCATTTCGTTTGGCTTCTGTTCCAATGCTCACGGGTATCGGTGAAAATAGGCCTGTGATACACTTAACAAGTAGGAGACGCTTGACCATTTTTTCCTGGGAAAAGTAGCACACATAAAAGATAGTTTCAAAAGAAGATCTAGATACAAAGATAAATACTGACAATAACAAAAATGTAGGGATACACTATTGACTGACTTTTGGGTCTCGCAGTAACACGTACCAAAATTGCACTCGAAATATAAAAATATTGCACCACTGACCCAGCCATGCCAACATGGCTTCAGGGCTGTAATTAGGAGCAACCTAAAATAGTTAGGTGCTTCATTATCAGTAATACTGGTATTTCTTCACAAAGTAATAATTTTACTCATGATGGAACCTTAGTTTGGATTAAGCTGGCACGAGCCTGTAATCACGACGTCAATATTAAGGTAACAAAGCACATTCATATTGCAGTGCTTTAGTTCAAAAACATACTATGGAACGAAAATGCTGCCAACATGGGCCAAACATTTCCACCACATATGCTACTAAACCCTGAAACAAAATTCAACAAACATACTGGATCTACCTAAAAAGTATGCTGCAACTTGAGCAGTGAGTATTTCTTAAATCTGAACTATGTAGAATGGTAAGTAGTAACAGCTACACAAAATAACATCAGACAAATGCTCCAGGTGTTCTTCACCTACACAAAGAACACTGCTTGCTTACACATACTGTCTACAACAAACCTCAAAATTTGAAAATAAATAAATCAATCAATAAAAAGAGAGGAAAACAGAGAAATTATTGCAAAACAATGACTTAGCAGCACTTTCTTTACCAAACCAGGATAGGTGAACCGAAGAGTTTGGGAAGTTTCTAAAATGTCCACGCATCTGACATATTGTGCACATAAATCGTTTATGCACCATCATGCAAAATGATTCGGCAGAGCGTGGAATGTTGCTTCACACACAATTCAGTAACAAACAAAAAGTGAGAGAAAAGATGAGTCGACAACATATATCGCATAAAATAAATTGTAACGTAATTAGATAGAAAAAATAGAACACCTTGAAGATGAAAGAAAGTCATTAAATAAAATGAGGCAGCATACTCAAAGTAACGTACCCCCTTGTTCCAGCCTCTCTTTCGAAAATAGTTTCAGCTTAGCAAGAACATGCTAACGCAGACGCATACGAGAATGCTGAAAGCAGCATCTTAGAATGTGAACTGCGAATGGCACCAGCTTCTAAAACACTGATAAACCACAACGCACCAGGACTTCCTGGAATTCCATGACTCTTTTTTTTTTTTTTTTTTTTTTGTCGGATACGCAATTTGTTGACCATGACCTTACTTTAGGTGCGCTGCACAGACAACAACAGAAATTGACAAGCATCATTTACATCTTTTTTCATCATGGCAGATATATTAAACAACTCTACAGTTGCAGATTACACTCCCTTCAGAAACCTGCATACAACGTAAACATGCCCATAGAAGATACACCCTGGTGTCTCTTCATCTTCAGAAGATTTGCAATGGCAGGTTCGTAAACTGACGTGCGCCACTTCGTGAACAGAATCAATTTCTCGTAGGACCTTATGCAACATTCGTGAAATTGACAGTAATCCCAAATTTGTACCATTGTGAAAACAGTCAGTTAATTTGAGTCACCGTAATACATCTATGCCAATCCAATCGTACCAGGAGATCAGTAGAAAGAGCCGACCATATTTCAATTAAAAGCACTACTCAACTCAATTTAGACACAGTATTCACAAGACAGGACTTGCAAGCACACTGCTGTTTGCTTCTACAGCTTTTGGTATTCTGGTACATGCCAACACTAATATGACCCTGCTACATTAGTACACACTAAATACCATGTAATAAACCTCAAGGCTCATTTCAATGAGCAAGAAAAGCTCATAAATGCCACAGTCAACATCATAGCCTCGCGCTATAGAAGTAAACCACTCTGTGTCTGGGGTACCGAGCCAGCCTTTCGCACATGAGAAAGATGACGGTGAAGCTTGCAACCAGACTTGCCAGAAAAAATAGAGCGCCAACTTGGCAAGACTAACAGTCACACTCTTTTCTCACGTATATTAAACACTAAAAAAACTCCCACAGCACACTATAAGAAACAAGTGTTTCCTAAAGGAAATGAACGTTTTTTTTTCCTCCATTCCGAACCTACAAGTCTCTCGCACGAAATTCCTCGACACGCATGTTCAAGTTGAAGCAGTTCAGAGGTGGCTGCAACAGAGTTTCAATAATTTGCTCAATTCTGAGAGCAAGGCCTTGAATTAAGGGAAGTGTTGAATGCTGACTGAATCTCACACGCGTCACTGCTGTCTCGCAATAATGACAGGCTGAACCAACTGTGTGTGCCCTTGTATAGAATTTATCAACGCTGGGGCAAGCACCTCTGAAATGCTTCTAACTGTAGGGTTTGTGCTTCGTGAGTGTGGGCCATTACTTCTCCTGCAGCCCAAAAAATGTTGTCCTTTTTATGGTGAAACATTTGTCCAGCCACAACAATAACTGTTGCACTGGTGGACAATTTCCTTTTCTAACGATGCATGCAATGTAACTCACTGTTAAGAATGCTACATGTATCCGCACTGTTCCCAACTGCAAACATTGAGCACGCAAGAGCTGGATGACGGAACAGCCCAAATGACTCCAGTTAAGTGTTGCTGTGTGAAATTGCACCATTAGATGTGCAACATCAATGCACCGCTCACTGACATGCAAGCTATGAAGGCTGCTGCAAGCCTCTTTATTCAGAGCTTCTAACCTTTCAAACGAAGGTAAACTAAATGTCAGGCAGATAAGTTACGGCTGACACACTCAAGAATCGTTACCTAGGGCATGTTGTTCTTTTTAACTTTTTGAAGGTGGACCACAAAAACGCAAACATTTTACATGTCCACTGCAACAATGCAGCACAATGTGAATGTGTGTGTGAGTGTGTTTTACATTAGTGCTAAAGAAATGCTATTATGAGTATGAGTGCTTCTCTTTGCAAAACGTGTGCTAAGAGGTGCCTGTTAAAAGCCAAGCGCGCACATTATGCTAGAAATACTTCCCAGTTTTGGGGGGAAGGGGGGGTGTAAAGTGATTTTTGTGACTACTTCTTTCACCTTTGAAAAAAGTAAAAAGGCATGCACATGAATGCATCGCACATGTGCAGCTTCACGCAGTCCAGAGCATCCAGCTTCACAAGACCGTGACAGCACATTTGTTCCATGTAATACCAACTGGCAGTTTGCACCAGCCCGTAGAGACCTCTCGGGGGTATTAGTAGCCGACTGAAACGCACGCGAGCACTTTTGAATGTACAAAACTGCCAAAGATCTTCCCGAGTTTAGGCAGACCTCTGCAGACTAGACGATCAGAGAGGCCTTGGAGTGTGCAGCCCATACACCTTGCGGTCGATGGGTGGTACATGATTGGTCGCTGAGGGCCCCCAGTCGTGCAGGCCGCCCGTGAAGGACACCCGATGGGTTAGGCGATGAGCAATAGAGAAGCCACCACTGCCTTCGAGTTGAGTGAGCACAATAATCACTTGCCTGCATGGAGATTACACAGTATTCTATCCAGGGTGTCGGAACTGAACGAAACCAAACAAAGACACAAATAAAAATCCACAATATTTTTATTGAAGCGAACACCGTAAGCGAAACGTACTTATTATTTCATTCTGGAGTCCAACCGAAATATTTTAAATCAGTTTTCGGTTCGAGAGAAAAGCTGGTGATCCAGAACAACTGAGGTCATGCAACGTAAACATTGATTCATATCTCGTGAGACAGTATTAGCGCATATCTTAGGCAGGGATTTCAAAGTAAATGGGTTGAAACTTTGTGCAAAACATTAAGAGTGGCAACTGGAGGTGCTATACAAATGCAAGTGGACCTAGGTGTGCTATTCACATAGAGCAGTATAGAAAAAACATTGTCACTGCCCAAGTTTTTTTATCCAAACATCGGTTTCACTGCACTGCTTCTGAAACAATGTTCATTCCCTTGACAAAAGCATTGAGTCTGCTCGAAAAATTTGTAATTCCCTTATAAAAAAATTCATTCTTTCCTTATTGCCATTTTATCACTAGTCTAATTTCAAATTTTTTTTTACACAAAGAAAAAGCTTTATGAACCATAATCAAACATTTCTTTTCATTGCATTCATTGCAGATAAGATACAGAACGAAACTTTTTCAGTAGAACAAAATTGAAACTGAAATGAAAAGCATTTCATTCCAACACCCAGCATTTCACAGCAGTGTAATGACAAGCAGCATGTAAAAACATTTGAAATTTTGAGTGAAGTAGAATGCCTTTCCTGGTGATCAACATTACAGAAATTGGTATATGCGATTTCACTGTGTAAGCAAGTGGCAAATGGGGAAGGTTGCAAAAGCTACAACATGATATGAAAGACACGCTGGCTGCGCGTTCATGTCATCTGCAGGAAATGCTCGGCTTAAGAGCTCAAGTAACTTATATGAGGCCCACCTATGCAAAGGTGGTATGCTGTCGACAGTCCTTAGGGTTGCTCTGGTGGAGACCACATTGACGCTTTCAGAACAGTCGCAGATCACTTGGACAAAGCGGTCTGGCAACCGGTTCTCCACGACCACCACCAGGCCTGCCCAGCCTTTTGTCAGGTAGTAGGCAGTCATGCCCTCACGCCCCTGGGCATATGTGCACGTACACGTTAAAATGGTTGATTGGGCGAGTTAGCGATTCATGACGGATTTAAATATGAGCGTGACAAAGAGGAAGGGACAGGAAAGACGAGGACAAGCGCATACTACCAACTGGAGGTTTAATCGGCAAGCTGTGAAATATATGCTGACAGATGAAACATTTCCCAAGCATATACGATAAGACCACACTGTAAACCAAACGGCATCTGCCACTGTCTAAAAACGCAAGCTCCTTATCAGAAAAAGAAATACACATGAAAGAAAATGGAGCAAAATGTAATGTGTCGGATTGATTTGCAACTTCGAAGCGATGTTTGATAGACCGTATGCAGGAAATAAACTGTATGCATGCTTGTGTGGCAGACACCAAACAAAATGCATACCCTGTACAGCTTACATGTTCAGCCAACAATGCAATCATAGTCAACTTGCACAAAATGACATCACAGAGTAAACATATGATCAAGCTATACTTGCCGACTAATATGCTCATGTGATTTGCCACGAAACTGGTTGCTTAATAAGTGGAAGAACACCCACAGAAATATACTTAACGCATGGAAATATACTGTGCAGTAGAGTAATAACATGGGAGCATCTGCCGCCCCATGTTGACATTCAGATGCTGGCATTCTAGTGCCAAACTCAGAAATGGAACTTTGGCCTTCCCATTTTCTAATAACGAACCTAAAATTGCTAAGATGACAATAAAGATTTCAAATAATGATACACAGTAGCATGTAGGTGCCTTACATACATCAACAGACTTCTCTGTTTTAATTATTGAGCCTTCTCTTTCCCTTAAGTAATAATTTACCTGTCCAAACTGATTCAGCATTTTACCTTAATGTCTTTGTAAAGCAAAGGGCTCTGTCTGTAAATGCTACTGGGTGAAAAGCGAACAAGAGCGGCAGCCTACGTACCTCATGCCTCCTTCCCTTGGCCACAGTCAGGTTTATGATGGCATCGGCCAGTACGTTGGCATGCGGGATGACCGTCTCGACCAGCAGTCGCTTGGAGCTGTGAATGGCTAGCAGGAACTTTGGGTAATTGTCGATCTTGTGCAGGCTAGTGTGCCAGTGGTTGAAGGCAAGGCACACGACCATGTAGGAACCTGGGTCGAGCACTGCGTTGCAGCCGACGAAGCTGCGAACCTGTCTCTTGGAGTGCTTCACCAGCGGGCCCACAAGACCCGCCGCTGGGTCCTGCGCCCGGAACACAACCACGCACAAGTCCAACTGGCAGCGCCTGGAACGCTCAGAGCTCCTGCACAAGACGTTGTGCCGCACACATACAGCATCTGCAGAGTCCCCGCAGCTTTGTTCGTTAATTTGTGCACGCCGTGAATTTCGCTTTCATCTTGGCTCTTGCGGTCGCTACTGCTCGCACTTAGTTTGCAAGCACATTCGTGAAGCGCGACGTTTTCAGTGCCACCTACGTCGTCGGAAAATTGTGTTTGTACGCAGCCAAGCAATCGGCGAGCCACAATTCACGATGCATGCGTGCGTCGTTGGAGCACCAAATCCAAATAATTCTTCCTTAGAAATATTTTCCCAATTTCGCGCTGTCAAGCTGGTGACGGGCCCCTTACATGGGTGCGACACTTACACACCTCTATACGGCATGTTCCCATGAACCTTTGTTTGGCACATGCGTAGTGCTTAATTTATTTTGCTCTAATCAGATAATGCAGCAATTAGGTACAATGTACTTGTGCATACGACCGGCACATAATATGGCACAATTACAGCATCCACCGATTTGACATTGTAAATCCACAGACCGCTCTAGAAGGAAACGATATGCCTCGCATCAGAGTTCAATTTTTTCCCTCATCTTCTTGGTGAAACTACTCCTCATTACGTGACAGACTGCTCTTCTGCTCAGCCACCAGGGTAGATTAAGCTGGACATCGATAAACACGTCACATAGGTTGTGCGACAATTCCTTCTGAGAAATTTATCACAAAGGTCCATACTTAACTGCACAATTTAAACACTGCCCATGTGCTTGCTTATGAATTTAGGAAGCTTCTATATTGATACAAGCCATGATAAACATCAAGGAATGGTCCATCAAGGCGACAAAGATGACAATTGAAAAAGAGCTCGCGTTGTTGTTGTGAGTCGCTCTGCCATATTGGCTGAAGGACTCTGTGTACTCCGTGTACAATCTGTAAATATATTTCTTTCTACCTTTTGTCTGCTACCACCCCGTGACACTTTGGTGGAGGTGCTGGGCATCGTCAAGAGATGGTCCATCAATATATATATTAGAAAAAAGAAACACAAAACAAAACAGAAAACTGTGCCATAGAATGCTGTCTAGTTAGTATCAATTTAGCAGGTCAGTTTCAACAGTGAGAATACTGGTTATACGAGCACGGCGATTCTGAAACAGACATGACAAACCTTCAACAGCTAGTCGCTACAATAAAGGACTCTCACCTCTGGCCTTCCTGAAAAAGGCCAAACTCCACTTCAGTGCCTTCGAGAACAGTAAGCAAGGTGACAGCTTGACTGTCTTTATCCGTCTGTGGCGGAAGCACGCCTTGGAGGCGAACCTCGTTCCAGTCGGGCCGCACTTTGCAGATGTCGATGCAATCAAAGAACCTGCAGGGAATGCATTCACTGTGAATAACTGCTGCCTGTAAACCTTGAGAGCACTGGAAGCGGAGCAAATAGCCCAGCTGCGCAGCCAACAGTTCAGCAAAAGTTCGCCTGGCCAAGCAAAACAACGATTAAGAAGTTGCAGCAACTAACCAAATTGAGATGAAATACTAGCAAAGGCATTTCATGAGCTTCGCAGGTTTCTTCATCACATTAAAATGTTCAAGGGCCTTATTTGTTAATTTTTTTTTTATTCTAAAAGGTGGTGTACATGGAAGGCAGCCTCCATCCTGCGGCATGTTTTTTCCCCTCGATTTGTTCAGTGACCAAAAAGTCCAGTTGTGTGGCGATCCCGAGTAAAAACTTTCCGCCAACAAACTGCCGGAACTGCATGCAGCAATTGCAGCTATCACGATGTGACCAGGCAGGCTACAACAAGCTAATCAAGACAGGAATAAAAATGTTAGCTTTCATAATGAATATTTTAAAAGAAAGATATGAATATGATATCCTGATACAGGAAATGACCAGAGCACAAACCAGCAGTGCTTTTGTGAACACCATTTACTTAAAAGCCTCTCCTACTAACTTACCAAACATTCAGGATAGCGGTTGATAACCAGTGCCTCACAGGTTGGCTTAGCATAGCTACTGTGAAGGCGATAAGAAATGTAAACGGTTGACAGATGCTAGATGATAACTGTGCTGGCCGTGTTTGGACCAAGTATAAATGCATCTGTCAAATAGTCTAGAAAAAGCCCCTCAGTTGCAACTAATTATATCATACAAATTTGTTTTATTATGGTGAAAACATGCGAACATAAAAAGGACCTATCCTGTACTCACTTTAAAACATCACTGAACGACATCCAGAATACACCATCGTCAGCCCCGTGCGGCATTAACGCTTCTCGCATTTCTGGTGTCCAGAGAGGAGAATTGTCAGACCAGTCACCTCTCCAAGCATAGTGGCCCCATGGATTTCGAAGGCGCACCAGCCTGAAATAGCAAATAGTCATTTAATTGGGAACAACACCGAAATGCAGTGTCAGGTGGAACGTCCAGACAATCCCAGATTACGGTACCAAACTGCAAAAGACTACTTTGAAAGGAATCACCCCTGCCCATCCCTATTCTTCTCCCAAACTGCTTGGAGTAAATTTATAGCCTTGTGCAAAACCAACATACAGTAACACATACAATGACAGCTGTGACATTCCACTGTGCCCTTCTGTACTCAACTCTTGATAACCTACTAATTATATCAAGTGTGAACCTTATGATAATGTTGTATCTATGAACAGTTGTATTTTATGCCTACTTAGTACTCCATTTTGAGCAAATTTGCACCATCACATGCAACTGATTTCAATTGCATTCATCACCCAAAGTCAAGCTGCATTGTTTGGAGTCGCCAAAAACCAAATGAGCTTTTTTGTTACTGTGTATATATTCCTAGTATACACTGAAAGCGTCTACAGACACAGAAACGGCCGCAAACCGAATAATTTTACAGCCCTAAAAAATGAGGTCATTAAAAACAATGTAATCATATTTCATGTCAACTGTGACTACAGTGTGATACATACTTTATCATTCACACAAAATGATAAGAATCACACAATTAACATTTATTTCATTATTTTTATTTATATTTAAATATTTGTCAATTTAAGTTTAAAAACATTTGAGTGTAGTACTGGTAGAATAAAAACAAAGATCAGAAATCTTGCTCACTAACCCATGAAAGGAAGACAGAAATGAAAAGGCTGTATATTTATTGTATGTCTGGAAATGGACACAGACAGGTTGCAAGTAAACAAACAAACAAACAAACAAACAAATTTTCTGTTCTGTGCAAAATTTTCTGTTGACCAAAGGTCCACTTAACCTAGAAAAGGAAGGCCATTTACACTTTGTGTACCTCAATCATCCAGTACACCCAGTAAGAAATTCAACTACCTAATAGTAAATAACATAGTTATAAAAGGAAGGAAATTTAGAGGCACATTTATTCGAAAATTGGGCTGATTTACTATGTTGTATTGGCTGGCAAGCTTAAATTATTGGAAATTTTGAAGCATTCCACATGAACGAATCTGTGCATATTAGTCCACACCTAACTCCCTGTAAAGGTCGTTTCACTGTAGTAGAGGAGTGATATGCCATGAATACACTTATCCAAGGAAAATCTACACTGCTGTGTGGCCTCACTTCAAGGTTAACTGAACATATTACCCTCACATCCGATTCATCGTTCTTTAAGTTTGAAAGCTTGTTATAGTCACTTATATGCTATAAGTATAGTAAATTTTAAAATGTAACACATTTTACTGGTTGTCACTTGCATTCTAGTCTGCTACTATAAAAAGTTGCTTTAACATCCCTTTGAACCAAACAGAATCATATTCCCACATGCCTTGTTTAAATTACAAAAAGAAAGATATTTTGGAGGTTGGTTGGGTAATGACAAATATGCTCATTTTTTGTAACAATATGTAATACATACTATTCGAACTTGTTTTTAAATTATTCAACCAAATCAATATTCACTTCGAGTTCATTTCGGGCCTAGTAAATACCATATCTACATACTCCTTGCGTTCTTGTTTTCTGGAATTATACTGAGTATAAAGTACTGTTAAATGCAACTTCAACTTTGAGGGCAACGAGCTATGGCAACAACTGGAACGACCACACTTGCAGACGGAAGGAGTGGTCATGACCAGCTCACCTAACTGCGTCAATGTCTTGGACATCTAGCACCGAATAGGCATGTCGAGGCCGCAGACCGACCGCATGGTAATCCTGGTCATTCACTTGCATATTACCGGAACCACAGGAAGCACCCATCAGGAACCTTTGTGCAAGGCAAAAGGCAGTATGCAGTGACATTCTTTGGCATTTTACTTATCATAATACCTCAATTATTCATTCATTCACTCAATTATTCGAGAGTTTGTTGATTTAAAATTAATCACTGAGGGCATGCACTGCATACTTCTCATGCACTGTATACTTCACACTGTCACTGTATGTTTCACAGTGTCACTGCATACTTCACAGTGTCACTGTATACATCACATTGTCATTGTGCTCACCCAGCAGCTCTTGAGCTTAGCAGCTGTGCCCAAATCAGGTCCTCATCAATGCCTTCTTCATTTGGAGAAGACGAGTCTGAAAGGGAAATTGAACAAGCGGCTTCTACCTCGAACTCACATAAGGAACCACTGAGGCAGGAACCACTTTTCGTGCAAATATTTGTAATTTTTGTTTGGATTCACACTGGCAAGTGTTGCACTGTGATGTTTTCAAAGGCATTAAAAATCAATCCCCGAAGACCTAAATGTAGCATGACAGAGCATGCTAGAATTCCTGTGTACATTTACAGAATAAAACTGTAAAAGTGATAGCAGTACTACAACAAAAAGAAAACAGAATAGTAAGCTGAATTGCAGTGTGTAGAAGGCAACGAAGCATAAAAATGACCTGTTATGACAAGAAAAGTTCCGAAAAATGGGCTAGTTAGTAAAGCACACCACAAGTATAAAAGATCTGTGAACTGCATATCGAGGTCAGTAACCTGATATGTTATTTTGCTATCTGTGTGCTCAGAAATTGTGTAACACCTTCCATTATGTTCCCAAATACAGTAGGACTTCGCTTGTAAATTTTCCAAGCTACAGCATCACTGCTGACAGGAGTGCAGTTTTCGTCATGCTACCACCACGCCCACTATGCTTGCGTAATGTGTCTTTCTGGCAACTAGAATATCTAATTTCTGCTGTCCCTTCAAAATATATTACACGTGCACCAAAAATGATGCTGAACTTTTAATGCTGTCTAATCGCGCTCACCAGGAGTTCTAAAACATTAATGTGAACTGTGTGTATTAAATACAAATAATGATCAGTACAATATTTTTACTTTGTCCAGTTTAGTTTGCTTTCACAGCCTAAAGCCAGACATTTTTCATAGCCAGATTTTGGAACTGTCATCTGCTATTGGTAAACTTCAAAGTGTCATACACTGTGCAGCATAAAATTTAAAAAGGGACAATGCCATTTGCTACTAAAGCATAAAGGTTTCTCCCACAGTGCACAACTGTGCCAACTCCTGCCCCATATAGTTGCAATCACCAGTGTTCTTTGACGACCAGACAAAGCCTGTTTTCATTCCAGCGCAGTGCCAAAGAATGCAGTAAGAACACAAGAGAACTAGCATGCTGTGGCAAAGAGAGCGATGACCTTCACACATGTATAATGAACCGTACTTAAGCATACAAAGAAAATAGGACATTTCATAAACTCACATTGAAGAGGCACACTTTCACATGGTGCTCCAGTGAATGTTGACAGCCCCTCGATGCAACGACCAGACACGAGTGCTTCGTAGCAGCCATGAAGCTTGGCCACGGCCTTTTCAATTAGTGGCACCCACAGCTGTTTTCGTTTAGCCTGGGATCATTTAGATAGAAAGAAATCATCATATTAAGGGCATTGCATAAATATGCTGAAAAACTAGAAATTTTCTCACATATAACCCACCCCTGTATATAGCCTGCACCCCTGTAATGTAGTATAGTGAAGCAATTGTGTTTGCAAAGTGTGGTGTGTGGTGGCACCGTGGTGTTGTGTACGACGTATTCGGAGGGGACGGCAGCGGTGCTTCACGATTGAGCGGCGGAGAGACGACGATGACGTCGGTGCGAAACGCCACGCGTGTAACTATGGCCCGCCAAAAGAAGAGAAAGTTTGTGCCAAAGTTTGCATGGCCCAAGGCCCTTACGGACACCAATGGGAAGCAGGTACAAGTAAGAAGAGGAGACAGTCGAAGAAGAGTCGAAGGCAAAACGGTTTTGAGCAGGCTGGAGTGAAGATCGCTGCTGTCACACAACTGCAGTGTTGGGTTCCAGACCTGAACATGTGAAGTGAGACAAGGCCAGGATGCTCCAGCTGCCCAGGGTGTACTCGGAGGTATGTGGCCTTCCAGAGTTCTGGCCGTGACTGTTCAAGGTCACGTACCAGCTGACTGTGCCTCGACTTCGATCCTGAACTGCCAGCGGAGAGCAGAACCTTCCGGATAGCATTCACCTCTTCAAAACGAGGCTGAGCCTAAAAGCAGCCGCAGTTCTTGCGAGGGCAAGAGCTGTTAGGTTTTCTGAAAGCGTCGACGTGTGGGCCAACACGTGACTCCAGCTACTGGGATGTCCCAAACGTCCACCGCCTCAACCCACCAAGCCACCAGCGCCATCAACACCACTGATGACTGTTTGCTTTCACAAACCTTATAGCGGGACAACTTATAGGACATATTTTAGTTTGTCAGCTTAGGCTCAAAGTGCATTTTGTAACTTCACCTCCTTTTTCTTCACTGTACTTAAGGTTTCTATTTTTCTTGTTTTATTCTAAATGACTTCGTCGTTTTTTAGCTCTGAGGTTTTCTCTCCGAGCAACGGTTTAGTTAACTGTAAACCTACATTACAATCCCTAACTTCAACTCTACACGAAGAAAAAAATTTATAGATATATGATCCCTGCATACTTAACACATGCTTCCACTTTTTAAGCACATTTTTCTATTTCTTTTGGTTAGAGCTATATGTGAGAAAATATGTTAATATGCTTATAAGCCCTTCCACATGTTCGACGAATAGCCTGTAACTCGGTGTATACCAGCTTGGAGTGAGAGAATGACAATAACAGCATTCTGCTCAGTATTTAGTGATATAAAATTAACAACATTGATAGCGTGGTACATGACAAGTTATATTGAAGGAACACATTTTACACATTTACAGCTGAAGGAACACGTTTACCACGTTTACAACTGAAGTTCCTTCTACAGTGGGCAGCTAAGTGAACAATGTGCAGTTTGCTTTGAAGGCAAAATAGTACGGCATTCTTACAGCCTCTGCTACATGTAGGAATGTCCTATCCTTTCATTTTAATAATGAATGTTAAAGATCATAAAAAAAATGCTAATAATCTGCTCCTCAATGGCACATAGGCAGTGTCAGTAAGCAAACCACTCAAGTGACAAATTTTTGAAGGTTTTACAATGATTATAATTTTCTAGCAATTCTTTAAAGCTATGCTAGAATACCTTCTAGAATAATAATGAGGTACTATCTACACATATTTATGTATAATGTGAACAGATACTTGATTACACCACTTCACAAGGGAGGCATTGCCTAATGAGAATTTTTGTGTCCCTGTTATTTTGTACATACATATACACAAGGCATGTGTGTGTATAGACGCAGTCTACATAGCGTTGGCTAAATAACTTAGTTGCTTTAGTATAACAAAACTAGATTGCTTGTGGTTAACCTTTCTTGGCCTTAAAAACGTGCATTAGCTGAGTGTTTTACCATGCAATTTTGTTTTGAAAGGTACCACAAGCATTCATCTGCCTTGATGACCAGCAGTGGGATAAAGTTCAGAAAGGTTAGGCTAGGAGTACCTGGGAGTACACAAGGCAGCCCTTGGCATCACACGGCAGCAGGTCATCAAGCAGCACCGTCGTCCACTGACCATCCTTGCAAAGCCGCACCTGGTACACGCCTTGGTGACAGATGGCGCGAGTCACCATGACGCGCTCCACCAACTCTGGCTGCTCGGCCAACACAGCGAGAGCTGACAGGAGCCAGCAGTTGCCAAGAATGCCTGCAGATCATTATTGTAGACAATGGTCCTAATAGAACAAAGAATGCTGTGATGGCTCAGCTTGAATGCAACGTGAGCATAATGTAGATGGGAGGTACTGTTGATTTTGATTAATCATCTTGTCACAAAAAGAAATGGAGACATTAGCCAGAGCTGAAGCAAAAAGCCAGTACGAGGTAAAAAACACCCAGAAAGGTTAAGCTAACACGTAGTACATAGCTATTACTAAGTAAATTTTCCCACACTATTATTATTACTATTATAGCTCAGCTATTATTAAGTAAACTTGATCATAAAGACATCTTTCAGAAGCAACACTTCAATTTTATAACCACATTCACTGACAGAAAGATGTATGCATAGAAATTTCATAACACTAAGAAGATTAATCTTGTAAGAGAGCACAGTTTGATTATTACAAAAGTGGAGAAGCATGTCTATGGTTCCTACTGTTCCACAGTTCAATTTTGGGGGTCAAAAGACGGAGAGAACGAGAGGCAAATCGGTGACAGGACTGACCTTGGGATATGTCAGATGGCATTGGGGTACGAAACACAGTCCACGAGATTTTGGATTCCTTGGGGTCACAGGTTATTTCAAATGGCCTAAGCCATTTGACTGCAATTTCTTCCCTTGGCTCATCAGGGTTGTAGTACAGAGACTTCAGCAGAGGTGGAAACGAGTCGTCTACAAAGGGCTCCCGATTCTGCAGAGCAATACGTAGGTGACAAAATGCTCAACCATAAGTTACACTTGTGAATACAAAAGGTCAGCAGGAAGTGAATTTAGTAAAACTGGCTCATTTGGACCAACTTAATTTGAGCTAGTTCCTGATTAAATTTCAGGTAATCATTCTTCTGGAAGACTGCTAGATGTGCTAATGGAAAGCAGTGGTTTGAAGAATGGAATAAAGACATAGCAGATTTATACAATGCTGAAGACAGTTTACAAACGTTCATCAGTCTCTACTTCTAGTATCATAGTATCTAAAGTGAAGTGAATCCTACAGGTTGCTTGAACTGATGATTCTTAGCTATCTATTATCTCACTGCCATTTTCCTTAGAGATTCCATCTTAAACATGTGCCTTTCTAACACACAGAAACAGAGCTGAGTGCCTCTTTTACACTCACCGATTTGCAAAATGAGACAATGTGGTCCCACCGCTCTCGTGCCTCGCTTTCTTCAATGCGCCGCAACTCTTCCATGAGTTCACTTTCACCACGCCCAGTGGCGCCCCGTGGCCGTGCAGCCTCTGGCCGAAGGGACACCAGACTACGCGATGTACAGCACATTTCACAAGCTGCATGTGGGCCAGAATTGAGAAACGTACATGATGGGCACTCCCAAGCATCTTCACCGGGCTCTCCAAGTAATTTGGTCATGCGTCGGTTGCGAGTGCTGGCTCGTGCTGTTCCTATGTTAATAAGTGAGGGCCGCTGGGTACTGCAAGCACAGCACTCAGCGAGGTGGTTTGGGTTACGCAAGGTGCAGTGAGGACACACCCAACTCTCGTGAGGTTTCAGTGTCTGGTAGCGTTTCGCTGCAACACTATTTAGCTTGGAACCACCACAGGCACTGCAAAATCGGTCCTGACCTGGGTTGATCAATGTGCACTTCACACACACCCAGCGTGAAATGGTACCGCGGCCATCAGAAGTCCCACACACTTCACAGTTCGAGGCTGAGGATGGATTTTGAGAGAAGGAGCACCCCGAACACATCCATGTATCCTCTTTCGGAGCAGCCAGGCCATTACCAATAGCCGGGCTTGACGGAGAGCTCTTGCGCCCATCCATCGGTCTGAGTTCCTTTGACTTCGGAAAGGGAACGACTTCGTCGCGCTGTAAAATGGCGCTTCTGAGAACCCAGAACTTCGGCCAGAAAGCCGAGGCTGAATGCATTGCGTGGTAGCAACAGCGGAAAGGTTGCCGCTGGCATGCGCGACTGCCCACAGCCGGGGCACTTTGCGCACGATGCCTCATTGTCCCGTGAGCAGCGCTTGCACACCCATGGGGAATCCAGAAGTGTCACATCGTCTGCGGAATGAGCATTGGCAATTGCAGAGACGAGCGCGCCACCCTCTGCACTCAGCCTGAAGAGCCTGTTCAAAGCTCGTCGAATGAGTGGCTGCTGCCTACGCCGTGGTGGCTCCTCAATTGTTGGTACAAGAGACGATGGGCTTTCCGGCGGTGTCGCATAATCTGCTGAACTGATTGTTGTATCACGACCAAGTGTTTTTCCGTTCAGGGTTCCAGTGGCAACAATGTCATCACAGAATGGCTCTCCGCAAGCCGCACACACCTTGTTAGACAAGGAATTCCATTCTTGGCACTGGAAGCAGTACCACTTTTCGCTGAGACGTGGTGGTGTACTCGGATCGCTAGGTTCATCCTTCTTTGGCTTCTTCTTCTTGATGCACTTGACAAATGTGTGGTCCAGATAGTTTGCTGGTAAGTTCTCGTTGATAACAACTTCTCCTGCTACAACACCATTGCCATTGAGACCACTAGCATCTTCAGATAGGCACTGGGAAAGCTCTACATATAAGGGCTCGTCGTCTTTAGCAGATTCTCCAGAAGAATCCGTTGTATCATCTGCATCTTCAGGCGGTGGGGGTAAGGGAAGGTCGTCTGGAATATCATCTATGACAGAGTCATCTTCGTCCTCTGGCAATCCATGCCAGCTTATGCACCGGGGTTTCTTCTCTGGTTTTTCAGAAGTTGCAGTGTTATCATCACAGGGTAAGTCATAGATGTGCTGTTCAGGGCTCTGACTCGAGTTCCTGATATGTTTATTTACAGGAGAACGAGGAAAGAAAGGAGAAAGAGAGAGACAGAGATAAAATATAAGGTGTGTGAAGAACTATTATCAACAGTAAACAAACATGACAGTAAATAATATGCTGATGGAGCAGAAATTTATGCTGTGCGCAGTTGCTCCCCAATATATTAATTACTCTACAAACTACATTTCTAGAGGCAGTTGCTATAGAGCTTCTTGCACACAATCAATGAAAACAAGTGAAAGTTAGCTATAAAAACAATATAACATGAGAAGACGAAAAGTTAAAACTCATGAAGTAAAGGGTAAGAGTAAGGACCTACGTGTTCTTTAGCACCGCCAATTTTTTTTCAACACCCAGCATACAAAGGCAACCTCCATGCAATTTGACTACAAAACATAATATGAATTCTGCCCTTTTGCCTTAGCCAGAATCATTTCCTTTTTTCTCCCATTAGATTTGAGAGATTGTATCATGTTCCTGTGAGCAGCTTTGATTTTATTTTCTTTTAATTTTCTTTATTTTTCTTCTAAGCTTTCTCTATTGCTCTGCCGTGCACTTTGAGTGGTGGGATTGTGCATCTTACATTGAATTGTTAATTGAACTCGTTCCTCAATCGGTGACATTGCAAACAGCGTGTTTTAACTGTGCCAGGCATTTATGCACATTGAATTGTGCGTAAAGTGAAGTTTTCTCAAAGGGAAGAGCTTTCCATCCGATTGAGACTTCGACCACTTTTACACCACGCAACTATTTTATACTCTGCACACACAGTTGCGATCATGCGGCCCATGTGCTGCACTTGTTCATTTACAATGGTTAAACATGGCAAACGAGCCGCGAAGTTGTAATGAAGATGTTGTTCAGTTGTAATATTTTTTTATTTATTTGTGCATTATTAATGTTCAAAGTAACATGGTAGTACTGTGTATATTTTAGAAACTACAGCTTCTGTTGCTGTGCTGTTAAGAAGCAGAAATTATAAACAGACCCTGCATTGAAAGATATTAGTGGTCTGTTATGAGACAGCTAATGAGGATATACTATGTTATGTGCAGGGCCCTTCGTCTTGAGAACTGACCCACAGATCAGTTTACTCCTCCTTGAGCACTTCCAGAAAGCTAAATAAGGATTGGATTAAACTTGATCTTCATAAAGCTTGTGCCTGAATCGCCAAACACCTTCTGCTGTTCTTGATTTTGTGTGTTTTTTAACTAGAAGTTGTTCTTGCAAGCAAGGACACGCCGAAAAATTAGGAAGATCCCACGTACCATGAGAATTGATGTTACGTAAACCTTTCGGAGGGACGGTGACTGTGGTGTAAATCTTTTTATAGAGCGAAATGTTATAAAGCGACGCTAATGATAAATACAAATGTGTACACACAGACTTATATTGAACAGTCACGCATGTTTTATATATTCAGTTGTATGTATATGCTTCCCATCCTCCTCTCCAATCTAAACAAAGGAAGAAGGCAAATTCAAGAATGAGGTGGGGGAGAAGGAACAGTCGGTATGCTGAATGGGGTAAGTCAAAAGGAAAGATGAACAGTCCACAAAAGAGAAAGAAAATATGAGGGTTGGGGTGGGGGGTTAATTGCATCAAAGAGTAGAAAGAGAGGTGGCAAATTTCACCATATTATGGTTGTCACAAGGAAGCACCATCTGGCAATGATAATTTTATGGGTATTCATTCATTCACCTCTTTATTTCAGATAAAATGTCTTGCATGCAAGGGCAAAAGGCGAATGTGCTCTGGCTGATGAGACCTTAGCACCCAAATGCACACTCAGAGCATGGACAAACAGAAATAACATTCTAACTTGTTAATACATACAAATGAAGTTTCATACAGGGTGAACAAAATGCATAGTTTTGTAATACTAAAAATAATAATAATAAAAAACACCAAGCCCGTGCAGAACGCACAGCACAGTCACAGCAAAAGCTGGAAGTACGGCCTTTTGAAAGCCTTTTTAAAACACTCTTGGAGCAGTTACTACAAGCACACAAGCACGGTACCCACTGCACCATAAATCGTCAATATTTCTGGGTAGCGGGGAAGCGTCCACAAAGCCATTATTTGCCGTTCTTTGAAAAAGTGTGCTACCCTCTACACATGTGTAAGGTATGCACTTTGTTGACCCTGTGGCTGAGGATGATGAAGAATTATGCCTGTGGATATTGTAATGGGTTGGAGCATTCAATGACCCACTCTTTAAACAATTTGAATTGTGTGATGCTCGATTGTTACATTACTGTTCTAAAAGGTGTTATTACACATGTTAACGCATTTCCTTACCCAACATGAAGCCTGCACAGGGTCAGCTTGCAACTGAGTTTCAAGCACTCGGTGGTAGTGTACTGGGCTGCTATGCAGAGGACCTGGGTTGCATTGCCTTTCTGTCCTCAGTATTTTTATTTAGATTCTTTCTTATTTCTTGAAATAGTGATTACAGGTGGTAGCGGCAGACAACTATGACACCAGAATTGACCTTTGTTCTCATCTTATAATAGCTTTTGGCTGTGCAAAAGTCATGAAACAACAAATAATGAAGCCTAAGGAAGATATAGCTACTGCATACACAACTTGTCAATCATGAGGACAGGAGAGGAGGTGAGCTTTAGTATTTTTTGAAGAAGTACTGGGACAGTGATTTCTGTACAATTTCTATGGCCTGTGTTGCGCATTGAAAAAATTTGGAATACTTTAGCATTTGAGTTCCACAGGTGGTTTGCACAAGTGGAGTTCTGTAATGGTTTCACCTTAATTTTTAAGAGCTATTGCTATTATATTGCAGTTTTATATATTTAAAAGGATTAAGCTTTATTTACTTATAAACATGGGAGAGCAAATTCAACTTATATAATTGATTCACTTATAGAACAGTGTTCTTAAAAGTACAAGCGTATGTGGTCATTGTATGAAAGGTTTTGACATATTGTATTGCTTGTTGCTGCAATGTTGTCAACCTCACAAATCTAATTTTGTTTGTAGTAGAACTCCGAACCAGGATTCAGTAGTGAAGATGTGAATGAATTAGGGTGTAATATTACTGTTCCGAACTTGTGGAAACAAAGTTTCCAAGTTTCTGGTATACACTGAGGGACTTTGTTTTTGTCGGAATATACTCTGAAAGGCGCAGGAAGACTTGACTAAACAAGGTCAACAGAACCGTTTATTACATGGTATCTGTCTTGGCTACGAACAACAACTAGAAAAAACGATGATGATGGGTATGTACAAGCGAGAACAATGAAGTGCTTTGAATGTGCTTACAATATGTTGGTATGAATTTCATTAATATGCTGGGACCAAACCAAGTGGTGCTTTTCAAAAGAGATGCCTAAAAACTCACAGAAAAAAGCACATTCAATTACATCGTTTTCAAATGTGAGCTAAGGTTCAAAACCATCAGGTTTGTTGAGTGCCTTGAATACAATAATCCTTGTTTTACAAACATTCAAGCTTAGTTTATTTATATTCAACCATAATGATAACTCTTGTAACCATGTATTACCTTGAATGTGTAAGCACGGTTAGAAATTCCAAGAAGTTTTATTTTTGTTGGTTTTTATTGTGTATGTATGAGCCTTCTTTGAAAAATTATACCATTATACCTGTTGTACAAATCATGTACATACAGATACTATAGAAAGCAGTAGCTGCTATGAGGAATAGTGTGCTTGTTGAAATATAGACTCCAGCACAACCCGTGCTCATGAATTTTCGAACTCTTCAAGCTTTCATCTTCTCCTGGTATCATCTTTTTTCCCTTTTTTTTTCATTATCTCACGAGATATATCACTTGTACCGAAAGAGAGACCACTGCAAGAAGCATGAAAAAAAATTGCCACAAAAATTCTTAATTTTGGCTGCCAGGAAACAAAAGCAATACATTTCTTTCCGATTCTTCTATAAATATTCACCAATTTCGACTCCGAAACTACATTTTTATATCTCGAAAACCAAGGATCCTAGATAAGGGTGTTTTTTGTTTTAAAACCTGGTAGTTAAAGGCGTTGATCTTCTGCTTTTGCACAACGCCCACCGATCTGTGTCAGAAACTGCATTCGGAAGAGAGATTTCGAGCGTCTCCTAGAGTTCCGACACACTGTTCCGGCGATTGTGATGTCACGTAGGTGCGTGTTTCTTTCGCGTTCACGTGGGGCGCGACGACAACGTTGCCGTCCAATTACGATTCCCAACCGTCGCTGGGTGATGACGCGCGCTCGCGTGAGTAATGCATCGTGTCCTTCGCGCCGACGATACCGGCGTTTTCGCAAACCCAAAAACAGATACCCGCAGTTCCGCGTGGGCGAGCATATCGCCGCCCTTCTGTCGGGAAACTCGCCGACGTCAACTACGCGCCAGTCTTGGTTTGAACTATTCTTTTTCCCGACGCGTAAGCCTGCAAGGATATCGAAAGAACGCAGGCAGCACCGAAACGCCGCGTACAAGCGTTTTCCGGGGAGCCGATACGAAAACAAGAGCTGCAGACTCGGAACCACAGTAAGTTGATCAGCTGTGACGCCCGATCGATCCGCCCCCGCGTCTCGCCGCGCGCGTTTTGTGGAACATTTCATTTATTTGTTTCACTTAGTGCGAGTCTTGCTCGACGGGACAAGCGCCCGAGTGCTGTTTCCCCCCGTGCATTGAACTTGCGTTGCAAGGTGCGCGATCAATAAGCCGACATCAAGTGCATGCCAGTGCTGGGCCTCTTAGGGAACTGTTTACCGTTAGCAAGAGAAAAAGAAACGCTAAAATAAACGTATGTGTATGTGCGTAGCACACTAATTGCTTCGCTAGAATACACAGCGCAGTGTATGAACAGTTTTAGGTGATGTTTGTAGTGAGGTGTAGCGCACTGGCATCATCTGCGATTCAGCAGCTTTCGAACCGAGCTTGCTCAGCTGTGTTGCTACCTGTGATCTTTTGCAAACATAGCGCGGGCTTAACAACTCTGCCATTCAGCAGAACGGTAATAACCTACAAGAGAAATAATCGTGCAGTAGTTCTTCCCGATATAATGTTTATTGAATGCGCGCTTTGCTCGCTGTATCTTTTATTTATTTCTCTCGAAGACAGAACAGTCATGCTGGGTGGCATGCGGGTTCGAAGCACTACATTTACGGATTACCTTGCAGGAGCAACGGAAAGAGCTGCGGGCTCCACACGGCTCTCCACGCGACGTGATGTAAGAGTGAATTTCGAGGAGCCGTCCTTGGAGTTTTGTGGCAATGGTTCCCTGGATGCATCGTCGTCTTCGGGCACCGTTCGACTTGCGCCGCAGCGTATGCAGGATCCGCTGTCTGTCGGGTTTATGGAGGTACAGTTTTTGCAGTGCCATTGCAATACGGAAGCGTTGGAGCCCATCGCGACCCGACTGAGAGCGTCGAGTAGCGGGTAGGAACGTTCTCCTACGGCTCTAGTTTCCGACGACCGCGCATACAGTAGCCAAAACGGGCCCACGTTCTTTCGATCATTGCGATTTTTAGGGCTACAAACAACACTTCGAGGATTACACAGCACGATCTAGGTTTCGTTAGTTCTTGTTCCGTGCGCGTCGCTAGCTCGCTAGTTCGCACAGTGCACGATAGGCGGCTTCGCGTGTGCTGCTTTCTTCTCATATTTTAAGTCTTATGACTCAAAACTATCGCTCAAATCTTACATGATACGATTACAAAAATTATTAGTCGAACAACGATTTTTTAGGAGATACATACTATTGTGATAAATTGTGCGTGTGTGTGCGTCTTGAGCGTGGTGACACTTCCGGCATGATGCATCAGAGGGGGCGAGGCGGTCTAGGGGTAAGTTTACGGGCTGCGCACGTACGGATCGTGTCACGAATGAACTGTCGCTAACTGTGACCTCGCTGGGCGAATTGAACGTGTGACAGTGCTTCGACGATGATATTCGTGCTCCCTTCGATCCTCCTCACTCACACAAACGATCGGTTGTAGGAAGCTCAAGAGCAACAGCGAGAGTCTTCGCACGCGAACGCTGCCATGGAGGTAGTCTACGAAGGATGGCTCGTGAAATCGCCGCCGGAGCGAAGGATCCGACGAGCGGTAAGCACTCCGAAGCAACGTTGTGTGTTCTTCTTCCTGCGAGCCTCTGTTTGAGCTTTGTTTTTCTTTCAAGTGGTGTCTTCGTGAGTTGTTGAAACCATCGGCGCTACTCGACGAGTCTGCCGGGGGGGAAGAGGGAGCGGATAAAGACACGAAATAACAACTGGTTTCGGTCGCCCCTTTTCGTTCGCGTGTTTGAGGTTGTTTCGTCGTCTACGCCTTGTATTGTTTGACGCGTACCTCGTTTACCTTGAAATCACAGTCGCATACGTCTACACCTCTGATTCATTGTGGCGATTTCGTGCGGCTCATACTCGCGGCTCTGTGGCTGACATGTCAGCTGTTCGTTGTAGTGGGCTAACAGCCGGGCTGTCTCTTATGCAAGTTACATATCACTGTTGCAAGAAGACAAACACTAAAGCGAAGCAAACCGCAACAAAATTTAAACTGTGAGCGCGGCACTTAGTGACAAGTTGATTGTCACACATGACAGGTTGTCACCGACAAAAAACCAACGTCACTACCGCCGAGTAAAACGGGGAAAACGCGTGCGCTGCAGCTGCGCTTCTTTTCCTTCGTTGCGCAAGGTTTCAGTTATGTAGGAACCGTTTAGCTAACGTTCCGGACTGCTGCCTCCTTTCTGTTTCTTCTTTTCGCTGCGGACTTCGTGCCAATGCGCCTGGAATGCGCACGACGAAGCCGTTAAGGAGGAAATAAAGCGTGCGGGCGAGTTCAGCGCTCGGAAGTTGCGGTTCACGGAAACGTCGTTCGGCAAAGGGCCGTGTCGGAACAATAAGTGCCCCCCTGATAAGACAGTATCCAGGCGGAACCACATAGCGGCAGTCTTGACACGCCGTGGGCGCAACGGCCTGTCTGGGCCAGTGATAAAAGACCCCGTTAGAGAAACACTTTACCGGCAGTCCGTATCCCTGCAAGCGCGACCGCTCTTGCTTGCAGACAGTTTCGCAACGTGGAAAACACAGAAGGATGTGTAGAAATAAGTGGAGTTAAACATTGCGTTGTTCCTGGTTTTGCTTTACATACTATAGTCCATAAACAGAACACACTTGTTTTGCATTTATGAGCGTCACCGAGTTGTGAAAAAATTTAGGGAGTCTTTGATATGAGGCACATGTTCTGAAACATGGATGAGGAAAATATGCTGTACATAAAATGACTGTGGGTAGCTCGTCGCTATAATTTTGACAAGCTTGTTAATAACACTGAAGCATTCTAAGATGTAAGGCAGTGTAAGTAGTTTATGTGTGTGTTGTTTCTCCTGGAGTTTTATACTGTTTGATGTCTGCATTGTGTGTTACAATGTTCATTAGCACATGTGTGCATTACAGTTTGAAGGAGAAACATGCATGCTGATTGGAACTTTTACAATGGGCCGCATCGCATGCTTTCTTTTCTATTTTAAATAGTATTAGCGCCCCGCCGCCGGGGTCTAGTGGCTAAGGTACTCGGCTGCGGTGGCAGCATTTTCGATGGAGGCGAAAATGCTGTAGGAAAGCGAGCTCAGATTTGGGTGTACCTTAAAGAACCCCAGGTGGTCGAAATTTCCAGAGCCCTCCACTACACCGTCTCTCATAATCATATGGTCGCTTTGGGACATTAAACCCCACATATCAATCAATCAATTAAACAGTATTATAGTGGTGTAGCTGTTCCCTAGTATTAGCAATGTTATGGACATCTACACATGTTTGGAATTTGCTGTACACCGTACACCAGTAATTAAACTGTTGCTTGATAAACCAAAGAGGAGTGCTGAAAAGGACAGGACGCAACTGTATCATGTTGAATTTCATTTCTTGATGTGCACTGTCATACTATGCCACGTTTTTTTATGTGAACTGAAAACATTTGCATGTATGTGCGCACAAGTACTGTCACGTTTTCCCCCTCCTTCACGGGCACATATTAAATATGAACACAGGATGGATAACGAAATGCATTACTGCATTAACATGTTTTCCAGCATCTGTAACGATGACTTGAGCTTGTTAAGGGGTTTGGCACGTAAAGGAATTGCGCATTTAGTTTAGGAAATAACACTTTTCAATTTCGATTGCAAAATTGTGCTTCAGCATTCGGTTCCCACAAGTATGATATCAAGAAAATATTTCTCCCGTTTGAGACTGTGTAGGGCAGCTTTAGCAGTTCCTTTTTTTTTTTTCACTTATGCTCAACTTTGTGGCTCACAATCGCGAGTTTCGCTTGGATTACGAGTTTTCCCGGTGTAACAACAGTGAGCATTAGCTCAGACTGACAGGGCAAAAGCTTATTCTCCACTTTTCAACAATCGTAGGGAAGGACTAAACTTTTATGAGCAAAAAATTGAAAATCAATCTTTAAACTTGAACAAAAAAGATATCTCAGTCTTTTCTTTCACTCTCAAAAGCAAGAACTCATCGCAGCACCACAAAATGTTATTTTTCTTGTGCACTGTTGCGGAGAAGGCCACTGCTGTGCACAAAAGTTTTGAACTTGTTTTCAAGAATAGGGCATTCTTCCAAACTATTAGCTGATGACTCTGTGCAATCACGAAGAAGGACGAACATAATCTCTAGAACTCAGACAGCTGAAGTGAATAGGGAGTCTTAGAATAGGGTCTGCGGCCCTTTGCGCATCATCCACCTATTATAGGTCAGCCATCATTTCAGTGGGTGACATCACGTTTGTCTGTCGCAAGGCTTTTGGGCAGGCTTTAGGGCGCCCACTTACTTCGAGAAATAGCGTCCCCAACGCAAAACCAAAACGTGGTTTGGGGTTTGCGCATGCGCAGTGGTCTCGACGCTACTTCTTTGGGGCTCAAACTTTTGGGGCCCTTATTCGAAAAACTCCCTAATAAGTAATAACATAATCCCTCGATAGCTTTTATGGTCGCGAAACTGTCACCTCAGTTTGATAGAACTCTGTTATACCCACCCCTTCTCTATGGCTATACCTTGTGGTTGTACCCTTCTAGCCCTCTAATATAGAGCTAGCGGCGGCTGCTAGGGGTGAGACAGTAAAAAGAAAGCGAGTTGTGGAAGACCGGAAGGCACTTGCTGTCTCCAAAAGTTCCTCGAGCGTCTTCTGGCTCACATTCGTAGCGCAGTGCATTGCAACTGTCGTACTGCTGTTTCCAGTAGTTTACGTAATGGCTGGAAGCTACAAAGTTTCCCAACTTCATGCTGTTGATAATTTTGACGGCCTCTTCGAAGAGAATCCTGGTGCTGACAGGCATGTCAGTGCACTTTTTTCACACTCAAAGTACTCGAAGAGTGCACCGTCCATGTGTTAGCTGAACTCTGGTGTGCCGTTATTGAGCTTCCGTCGAAGTTTTGCCTTCCCGTAGTTTAGCTGCAGCAATTTATCGAAATTCTTCTCCCATTCCCGTATCCGGTTCCGGTCGAGCTTGAAATATCAAGACATCGTTTTCTTGATGCCATCGAATAACCTCAATTTTCTTCGCCACTGTGTAGGACTGCATAGGTATATCTGACCTCTCACCGTAAACAAACAAATGGCACGGAAGCTAGCATGCACGGAGCAGTCGAGCTGAAGTGCAAAGCAGGATTGAATTGGGTGAGGGGGCATTCTCGGAACGGCGCGGATATTTGTAATTTCCAGTGAAATTAGGGGGGGGGGGGGGGGACTGGTAGGGGTCGGAGAGCTCGTTCGAAATTTTGCGGTAGATACATGCATAGATAGGAACGATTAAAGCGTCTTTGGTTCTCTAAGAAATGCTTCCGATTTAATATAAAATACGGTTTATTGGTCGCAATATAGAAGCATTTCTAGAGCGACAGCGTCAAAATGGGATGGACAAGTACTGCTCGATTACCTTTACTTAGCTTTGTGTTTGTTTGTCCAACCTCTTTCATTGCAGAAGTGGAGGCGACGCTGGTTTGTCCTGCGACCATCTGGCCAAGTGCCACAGCAATATGTCCTGGAGTACTACACAGACCAGACCTACAGGAAACTGAAAGGCACTATTGACCTTGACCAGTGTGACCAGGTGAGCCTACTGAAGTAATCTGTTGAATGTGGTATCTGTAGCATGAATATAAAATCATTTAAGAGCCAACACATGGTGCCTCTTAGCAGTGGTCTGTGTTCAAGGTCTAGCTTAACAACTGTTAGCAAGGTTATTTATGTGCCTGTTCTTTCACCTTTGCACACTCCCATTTCTTGTTTTTCCAGACTAACCTGAAAGTGAAGACTTGTTTGGTGTAAGTTAACAGTTCGTAAAAGAAGTGTACAGTACTTTGAAGTTATGGTAGGCTTTCAGTGAACAGTAATTTTATAAATGGAACAACTGCCCCTAATATGGTAGGTTTGGTACTTGGATTCTGCCCCCCTGATCTTCTCTCAGTAAATGGTATCCTTTTTTTTTTGGTCCCTCCAGGTTTCCTTTAATGAGAGTTTGCTTGCAACACCAACCTGATAGGCATGTAATGTTGCTGCAGCACAAACCAGCACATATCAAAAAAGTAGAAAGAAAAGCTGCTTTTGTTGTGTGTTCTCGTAACTTGCATGACCATTAAAGCTGATGTGTGTTGATGAATTGGTGCCAGAAGAAAGTATGAAGTTCTGTTAAGCTGTGAGCTTCGTAGGGTGTGTGTTCTTCAATTTTAGGAGGTTCCACCTAAATACTGGTGTATGGAATAATAGAAACCTTCAATGAGAGCTAAACCTATTTATATTTTTTTATTCTGAGGAATGTATGTTGGGGTTACGAATATTAGCTTTAGTTATTTAGGGTGAGTGCTCGGTACGTTTAATTTGTGATGGTACATCATCTGTGTATTTTTATTACTCCTTCTTTGGTGGTCAAAATAATATGAATGTGTACATTAGAAATTAGAAGAGTAATTGTCAGTGAGGGTCCCAGTAATTCCCTATTAGCTATTAAAATTAGGGTAATTGCATTGCCAAATATGTTGGAATTGTGGAGGGTGCTTTAGCAGAGTGTGTACGTTGTGCGAGTTGGTGCATAGTTTAATAAGATACTTTTGGTGCAAGGAAAGAGAAGGAGACAGGATAGGATGCCTGTTCACTGTTGACTAATTAGTATGAATCCTCAGATGAGCGTTTAGTTTCAGGGGTATTTGTACATGAAGCTAGCACATTGGTACTTCTCATTCCATTTACTGCTTTTATATGTGCCATTTGTTAAAGATCATGGGATTAAGCTGTGTTAAATATTTATTTTCCCCTACCTGTTTCATGAAAGTAGAATACTGGCACATTAATTTGATGTGATTTGTTTTTTCTGAGTTTTGTCAAAAAAAAAAAACTGTTCTGAAGGTTGTCAACGTGCGTGGTCTTCAGGTTGACGCTGAGCTGGAGGTGGTGACAAAGTCCAAGTTCATGTTTGACATCAAGACGTCGAAGCGAACATACTACCTAGTCGCCGATTCTGAAGCCGTCATGAACAAGTGGGTCGACTGCATATGCAAGGTCTGCGGCCTACGCATGCGGGTTGAAGCAGGTGAGAATAGGTCTTGCTGACACAACCACATAAAATTAACCTCGAGATGGACTGAGTTAAGCATATAGCTTTGCTTGTAGTAGGGTGCAGGTATTTATAAGCAACAGGGGTCTTGACGAAAAAGCAAATATGTGGTGCACACAATAAAAAACATCGGAAGTCTGTCAGTGTAGTGACAGGCGTGCTCATGCGCAAAGGATCCAATTAGGTTGTCATTGCTGCTTGATTTATCAGCCTTGCAGTGTTACGCGAGGGCTTGTGGGAACATCACTGACTCGTTTAATAGGAGGGTACAATTAATTTTTCCAGTTGTTTTACGGTAAACGTCATGTCAAAGTTATTGTAACTCGCTGTTATATGTTTCTCAATTTAAGCACAATCTTTTTAACAACCTAAATCTGATTTTGTGCTCCTGCCTGAATATTTCTGTGCGAACATTATTTGTTAGGAATATTGTGCTAGTGTTGTAGTAAATGTGCATGATTGCATTCATGTTGCGAGCACTTGGTTTGCTTCAGTTTTGGGTCGTGGTGCAGGTCTTTTTTTGGAAGCAGAAATGTCTACGGATTTCTTCAGCTGCATTTTTCGTGGCCATAGAAGCCAAGTTGCATTTTGGTTTATTTATTTGGTTATTTATTTACAGTACCTGCAGCACCCACGTGCGGCATTAGTGTAGGTGGGAGAGGATAACATTCAAATGCATGTACAAGAACTTAATACATTTCAGAGAAGAAAAAAAAAGAAGCAGAATAGTGAAAAGCCAATAACATTGCAGTGTGCATAATACAGCTATGTAATAAAACATCCAAGGGTGGCACGTAATTAACATTGACGTGTGTGGAAATACAACACCAAAATATGTGTATATAAATACGATAAATACATGCATGCACGTACGTACACACAGATATATACAGGCAAAGATTGCAAAAACAAGGAAAAAGAGAGCTCGAGCAGTAGCCGGCCAGAAGGAACAAACGGAAGTATAATCACGCTACAATAGAATAGGATTTTGAAGAGCAATGGCGAATTTTTCCCTGGACGCGATTACAATTTCTTGAGGCAGTTTGTTTCATTGCTGAATTGATCATGAAAAAAATGAGTGTTTAAAAAGGTTAACTCTGGTAGTGAACTCGCACACTTTTAGACACATAAGCATATTATTATTCACTCGCGTGGCACAAAAATGAACAAATTATTTTTGACTGTCCATTGATAAAATTAAGTATCAAGGTTTTATATTTACCAAACTATGTTTCTGAATTACTTGACTGGTTGAATTCGGGCAAGACAGATAGTTCAGGAACGATACTGGGCTTTATGGATGAAAAATTGTTTAATTCAGAATGTTGGTGAACCCAAAGTTTAATAAGTGGACTCTCCTTCATCAAAGCAGCTTCTGTTTTCTGCCTTGATGAATGTTGCTTACTTGACAAAGACAAGCCCACTTGTCGAAATGTGGGCTCCAGCAACACTTATTGTGTAACGATTTCTCTAAATAGTTCTGAGCCTAGTTAATTATCTAATTATTATGTTGCTTTTTTGGAAAGGGTGGTAACTATAGATATTATTTGAGCAACATGCCATGCATATATCACACTAACTTGTATAAGTTTTTGTGATATTAGAACCGAGGTTACAAGACCAACGTGCTGAGTAAGCTCGGCAACCCTGGCACATCAACTTCTGCTACATGACTTGCAAATCCTTCGCTCCTATCCAGTGGCTGCTTTTCTTTCACATATGGGAGGATGAAATCTAATGTATCGAGCCATGAATACTCAAGTTAATGGCAACACTGTAGTTTACTTAGATTTCGAAATAGCTATGACGAATAGTTTGAACCTGCAGTCGCTAATTTGTACAGTTCCTTTTGCTTTCACTTGCTCTAAATGTCAAGAATAAATTTTAAGCGAAAACAGGAAGTGGCCTCTAAAAAGCTTTCCTTGTTCCGTTTAAAGCTTACTTGCATCTGCTTTCTTTTGCTTTTATGATAAACCTGTATGAAGCAAATGTGGAAACAACACTGAACTTTTTTATGTGTGTGCAACTTTTGATATATAGAGGGAGGCTCAGAAGAACCACAAGCTGAGGCATCAGCAGAACCCCCCAAGCAGTCTTTGCCAAGTGACGAAAGTCCAACACCTGCTGAACCTGCGCCAGCACCACTCTCTACAGCTGCTGAACATCCAAGCAGCCTTTCGAATGATGACTCCAATCCCTATATTCCTATAAGTGAATGCATCACTGGAAAACCCGTTGGCAATGGGCTCCCACGATCATGTCCTGAATCACAACTGGTTGATTTTTACGACACCCCTCGTTGCAGCACGGGGCGAACGTCTCCAGACCCTGTTATGGACGCCATGTGCCGGATGCCACGACCTCCGGAAAAGCCAGTGCGAGAGCTGAGTGGTGCCAGTCTTCTCGGCTCAACCGTGCCGGCTCCCAAGGTCAACTGGAACACATATCCAAAAGACTCTCCAGCGCCAGGAATGTCCACTAGTAGTCAAGCGCTCAACTACAGCCCCGTGCCTCCACTGCGACCTACAAGCAGCCGAGAGGAGGTTGTTGAGCTGACCACTTCTCAGAGCAGTAATGTGTACAACGGGGACACCCTTGGTAGGGCTGGCCTTACCTTGCGTAAAGCGGGTCGTTCTGGAATGTCTGTGCCTCCTGCACCACTTACTAGGCAGGATGCTACCGAAGAATCTTACGACCGTCCACCTGTGGCTCGGCCCTCTTCTGCGTCCAACATGCAGGCTGTACGGCGGACATCACAGGCGACGAAGTCATACCTCCCCGTCCGCCAAAACCTGCAAACATCCGGATCCGTCCTGTAGCCAGCGGTTATGACGTGCCTCCGCCGCCTTCACAGCAACCGCGGATGCCACAGCAAGACTCGTATGATGTGCCACGTTCGGCTGGAGGAATGCGCGATGGCTACAGCATTCCTCCATGCCCAGTGCCTGTGCTACGGCATGAGCCTTACGATGTCCCTGCGGCACCGTCTAGGGGACCGTACGAGCTGTATGACCTGCCAAGGTCGGCGGAGCCGCTGCCTAGAACGGCATCTGGCGGCATCCCGCTTCCTCCCCGCCTCTCGCTGGATGAGACATACGACTTTCCAAAGTCTGCTCTAAGTCCTGATGGCCTGAATCTGTCAGTACCAGCACCAGCAGCGCCAGGTTCGAGGAAACATGCTTACCACAATGCTCCTGTAGGGACCTTCAATAGCAGGGAAAACATCTTCAACTACGAGTACAGGCCATCATTCACAGAATTTGTGGCGAAAGACGATGGAGATGCACAGCAGGCACCACCTGGTACCTATGCCAATCTGTCGTCAAATAGTCCAAGTACACCCAACCTTGCCGCTGTGCCACCTGCCATCAACCGTGGTCTCAAACCACGAAAAGCATCCACTGAAGGTACTTCACCAGGTGAGTCTGTCGTACGACTTTCTAATGTATTACTGAGGTTGAAGTTGGTGCATATTTGTTATAAATTGTTGACTCCAGGGTATGCAGAATGTCAGCCTTGGCTAATTTGACAATGCATGCATGCCTGCCGGTGTTTCTGAACTGCTTAGTTTGTAGTGAAGCATCACAGTTGATCTTTCAAGACTCGGTGTAATAATAATTAGCACATTTTCTGGTACGTGGAGAAATTGCCCACAACTTGGTTCCTTTGACTGTTGCGTGTCTAGTTCAACTTGTGAAGTCTAAAGCTGCCTGTGAAGCAAGGTTAAGCGAGGATGATTGCTCCTTGCACACATCTAGTTTTGTAGATTTATAGTGAGTTTTTTGTTACTATGGTGTGTAGCACGATGGTAAAACTTGTTACAAAGGTGTCACTAGGATGTGCTATTAAGTGCATCTTGAATTGAGTATGTTAATTTGAAAACAAGGCAACAATGCCATAGCAGTGGCAGCAGAGTCCTCCAATATTTTTACGATGGCGACAACTTTCTAATGCACACCGAGATCCAGGACATCACGAATGAGTTGCAGCCAGCACATAGATAACATGGACAGCTGTTGCCTTTACTTTGAAAGCTCTATTGTTACTTGGTGGGTTCAATGGTTACTCAGTGGCAATAGTTATGCCTGCAAAACTTTATGTGCAAATAATGCAACACGTGTGACATATGATTTTTCAAGCATTGAGTGTACTTTCCGGTTTGACTGGCATGTTTAGTGTGACATCCATGCAGCTAAGTCATACCTGTATTAATTTGTTGTACACAGTATTACTTTGCTTACTGTGCAGTAATTGAGTGTGTTTGGCTTTATTTAATATTAGGAACGCAGCCTACCACTTGCTCAACATTTGGACTCATTTTCAGTATCATATGACACCAGCTTGTACAGTAGTCACGGATTCAAACGCAACATCAAATTTAGTATAACGACTGGTATGTGCAATTAATTGCTTGTGATAGCCACATCGTGCTGTAATGACTTTGGTCTCTACATATAATGTTGGCTCTCATCAACGCGTTCAAGTCGAACTTGTGTCGATAGGACCCAAACAGAAGACAGTGGAAACAAAAGTATGTGCATTACTTAGTCCTAAATTATCCCATTTCAACTCATGAGTATTGTACATGGCAAAAGAAATTTATAACATTTTGCACCACAAACATTCCATTTTGTCACCATTAATCATCAGTTGACACTGACAGATAGATGACTTGCTAAACAGCCCCGCTGCGGTGGTCTAGTGGCTAAGGTACTCGGCTGCTGACCCGCAGGTCGCGGGATCGAATCTCGGCTGCGGCGGCTGCATTTCCGATGGAGGCGGAAATGTTGTTGGCCCGTGTGCTCAGATTTGGGTGTACGTTAAAGAACCCCAGGTAGTCAAAATTTCGGAGCCCTCCACTACGGCGTGTCTCATAACCATATGGTGGTTTTGGGATGTTAAACTCCACATATCAATCATGACCTGCTAAACAGCAGTCTCCCAGTTCTGCTGAAAAACAAATGCTCATTTTAGAACTTAAATTGGCTTATGCAGCATCTTTTTGTGCTTGTAGTTTTTGTCTACAGCTGTCTGTAATATTGTTCTAATGTTTTATTAGATAACCAGTACCAGCGGAGATGCTTTTTGCATTCATGGTTAATATGCCATCGGTAATGCTAAATGCTAGCAAAATAGTTGTTTGTAGAGAACATAGTTAAGCTCCCCCTGAATAGTGTTATTGGATATTTCTAGACGTGTAACGAGAGCTTTCTGTACAGCTATAATTTTATTATTAGTAGTAGTAGTAGTAGTATTTTCTGTACACAGTTTACTCAAGAGTAATTTGCAAACAACTACAGGGACCTTGATTTTTCGTAATATGTCATGTTCCTATCTGTGATGTTTGGTATCAGCAAAATTAATAACTTTCATTCATGACATCCCCAATATTTGCAATTCACGTTGGGGACAAAGTGATTTTTTCTTTTGCCATTGTAGATTTTCGCAGATTGCTCAGTTTTACTATCAAGCCTTGTTACAAGTAAGAATTTTTGTCTGAATGTGAAAATATGATCATTTCTATATTTTTTTCACTCATAATCTACCTTCGTTGCACTGCTAAATCAGCTGTACATGCTAGTTTTACTTTATGCCTATTGGCTGTAGATCTTATTGTTTTGAAGTATGAGTGTGCTGTATAATGCGGAATATAGGTCCACCCCCTTACCTTGACCAGCAAAAAAAAAAAAAGAAAAACGCGTAATTGTTCACTGATTCATTTTATTCAGTTTTCCGAGCTGTCGGAGCTTTTGTCCGACGGCGACTGTTTTTCACTAGCCGCCTCCCATAGCATCTTGTCCTCAGTTCCGTCGAGAGCGTTGCTGATGCAGCACTTCTTTCTGGCAGAGACCTCCATGCCTCGGAGACCAAACCACTAACTGTGGCGAGAGGTGGCCTGCGCAGTCGACCTGTCCGGTTCCGCGGGTTGTCGCCAGCCATCATTCAGTGTTGGGTGCCAACGCACACACACAAGTCTTTGAAAAGTTTATTAAGGACGACGTCCAGCGGTTACAGTGTTGACGTTATCCATCCCAGAATGACGACAAGATTCATTTTTCCGTTGCTAAGGCTCTCCTTCACTGATGCTGTCAGATACCCACGAAATGCATCCAACACGAGCAAGGCCTCCTTCGGCATCGTCTTCCGCTGAAGATTATGAAGGGGGGCAACTTTCTGCCATCGAGCGTGCAGGAAAGTATAACGGTGTAGCGGGAATGCTTGCTTCCGGTTTACAAAAGCTTCCCTATTTTGTCCCGCGTTCGCAAACAGTCGTGGACAATGACATGTCGAACCACACCGGCGTTTCGTCGGTGTTGCCGATCCGGCCTAGCATGTAGCCATGCTGCTGCCAGAGGCTGTTTACCTAGAGTTGAAACTCTATCAATTTGTCCTGGTACAACTCTGGCAGCTTCTGGCATATTTATGTGCGTCGTCGAAGAGCAAATCCTTCGCGTAGCGTGAAGCGACGGACCCAATAAATGGACCCCTTAAAATCTGTTCTTGACAGACTAGGTTCACGGGCAAGCTCGACGACTTTTGTGCGAATGAGCTCCGCATTCACTGGCAGGGATCTGGCACGGTACTCGCGGACAAAATCCGCCACTTCGTCCTCAAGTTTCGAGTGCACAGCTCGGCGACCGCAAAACCGTCTTCCTCGCGTTGGAAACCGGCACTTTGGATTTTTGGTTGCACCAGTAACTGACGCTTTTCTCGGACACTCAAAACTGCCGCTGTGCCACCATGTTGCCATTCGCTTCTCTAAATTCAATAACTTTTCTTGAACTGGCGCTGCATCCCGGTATTCATAGCTGGCCGCAGAGTAAGGTCGCCACTCACTAAAACACTGATTGAACAATAAAAGAAAAGTGGCGTCAGCAGAGGACGCTTCGGGGTCGGCCCAAGGAGGCGATGTCGATGCTGATGCCCAAAAAGCATGCGACACTACCTGTTGCCAGACGATCTTTTGGTTATGCCAAGGGCCGGTATATAGGTCGAGGAGTGACTCTTTAGTGGCATTTTTTGGAAAAAGTCTCGACCTATATTCCGCACTATACGTTAGGTTATTTATTGCATTGTATTCTGCTGCTGTTGGCTGTTCAACATGTGGTTTCTTGCCCCGCCGCGGTGGTCTAGTGGCTAAGGTACTCGGCTGCTGACCCGCAGGTCGCGGGTTCAAATCCCGGCTGCGGCGGCTGCATTTCCGATGGAGGCGGAAATGTTGTAGGCCCGTGTGCTCAGATTTGGGTGCACGTTAAAGAACCCCAGGTGGTCGAAATTTCCGGAGCCCTCCACTACGGCGTCTCTCATAATCACATGGTGGTTTTGGGACGTTAAACCCCACATATCAATCAACATGTGATTTCTAAATCCATGCCAAAGTAACAGACACTGATCTCGAAAGCTGCACTCATTTAGGCTGCATGCTTCAGAAGAGATTTCAGGAGCTGAAAACGCATGAAGTATGTCTGCCGTATTTTACTGCTAACCCTACATTATTGCGATCAGTCACTGTGACTCTTTGGAGAACCTTAACAATGTGCCCTCGTAGTGCATGTACACCACTTTCAAACTGGTCTGCTTACAGGTGGCCACGTGTTTCCCCTGGCTCCTCCTCCAGTTAACAGAAACCGCAGCCACACTTCCTCAGGCAGGCAAAGGTACAGGCAACATCTGTTTCAGCTTGGATTAATCGCACAGCTCTCATTCACACAGCTTCTCTGTTTACCTCGCCAACTTTCTTTTTTTTCTCTCTTTTTCTCTTACCTATGTACAGGCAGAGAAGTAAGGGTGACCTGCTAGCACCTGACGAAGACTGTTGGTCAAATGCAAGCAGTAGCCGGCGAAACTCCACAAATGATGACCCGGTACGTGGTTGCCATACATTTGGGAGGGGCACTTGCCCAATGTGCTGTTGTAATGGTTGCCTTGAATTTTACACAAGCTATTAGTCGCAAATGCGAGTACTTGATAAGGAATGCAAAGGTAAACGGAGACGATTCAATGCACATTCCAACTTACCAGGCAACTTCCTGACCAGGCAAATTTATGCCTTACTGATGTGTCCATTTTAAATGCCTTGCATATGTCATTTAATATTAATGCTCCTATGAAATATAGCAGCCTAAAGGTTGAATATTTCGTTGAGTGCATCGGAAAGCTTTAAATGTTATTGTTCACATTAATTACAATAAAGGGAACATAACCAATCAAGGCATGTAACACCACCAGTGTTCAAGATAATTTGCATGGGCTGAAGTAGGCTCATTCGCAATTTGTTACCCGACAAGTACCACTTGCTGTCAGACATGTGGTACTTGTTCTCGGGAATGTTGACACAAAGCCGAGAACAACCAATAGTAGCCTAACGGATGGCCAAATCGCATCTCTGGGTGCTTACGTTTTTCATGGGTGAATAATGAGTTGAACAAGGACATCATTTCAAGAACACTCAACCTTCATGCAGGGCATAAGGCAACCCAGTGCAGGTGCAAAGAAGAAAGGAGAGATCCAGTACCTCGACTTGGACTTGGATTCTGACCCTGCACCAGCACAGAGCCCAAGATCTCCAGAGCAGCGCACCGGCGGTACTGGCACCTGTTTACAGAACAGTCGACTTTGTCAAGACCAAGGCCTTCAACACAACACGGCAGGACGTTGAAGAGTCCTATCGCAGTCACAAAGATGGCGAACCATGCAAGTGAAGAGCTATGTTGAAATGCATTTGTCAGGATGAATTGGGGGCCGTTCCAATCAAAGGTTATAAGTACCGGACGGAGCAGGCTGAAAATGCGCCACAATATTCAAAGAACAAGCACGTCTGAATCTAATACTGACACATGACAGACATTGCAGGCAATGGGGTGTGCCATAATAATTCTAAGTATAGTTCGTTATAAGCGCATTGTGGTTTGGTGTCGTGCCCCACTCGTTTCCTACTCATTTTTTTGTGTGTTTTAGTCGCATTTTATAGTTCATCGTCAAAGCAGGGGTTGTTTTAATGCAAATCATGTTTCGCTGACAGAATCCTTGCTTGCCTTCTTGGTCGGCTGCATTTTGCTCCTTACAGGTTGGAGTGCACTGATCTTTGCATAATACTTATTTGCATATCTGATCAAACGCTCGATCTCTTTTATTCAGTAATAATGTGTTGTGACTGTTGGGAAGGGCTGTGACTGTTCGCCCTGTAATAGAATGCATTTCATGTTGAGCGTAGAGAAGAAAAAAAATTGTTTTGTTTGGCTTCTGCGTACTTTATTCTTCTTTAGAAGTTGAAACGCCATGTCTATAGCAGAGCCTTTGTGAGTACGCTCAACTCTACAAACTTACCAAGTTTGTTTATATTTATTTGAAAGTTTTCCTGCATGTTTATACATATATTACAAATGCCATCAGCTGCTGTAAAGCAGCTTGTAAATAATATGACATCTGTTTGAGCAATTGTACAGCCGTTTTCTTCTTCAAACCTGCAAGGGTGGTTTTGTCAAGTCGGATATCTTTTACGTTTGACTACGTTGTCGTTTCCAGTGAGAACGCATTTAGCATCTTCATTCTCGTGCCAGCTTCATGTGATACTTGCAACCATGTTCATTGTGAGCAGCATGGCATCGACCACTGATGTCTTGCTTGTGGTGTTTGTGAATATCCTGGGACGTGCCTTAAAACGACGGTGGAACTTGAAAGTTCGATACAATAATTATGTGGTTGCTTGAGCGCGGTTTAGCACTTGTTGACAGCACTTAAGAAATATTTATATGGATACAAGGAGTGCCCTAAAAGTACCTGGAAGCAGGCTGCCCCACCTTGACTGGTCAGAGGTTTGCTGCACTGCATACCACAGGGGGTGCCTCTAATAAGTGGAATGAGCTTTGGGGAAGTTTTTGTTGGTGGAAACAACAAAGTTAATACACATTCTCTGATTGCGCAGTGATGCTTCTGAAGGATGTCTGTGAGTGTAGGGCTTGTTCACAGCTCGTGAAACATGAAGTATGAATGTGGTAAGCGCTAACAGGGCAAGGGTAAGCCACAGGTCCTAGCTTAAGCTTTTAGTGGTTGAACTGATTCAGGGCGAAAGTGACGTCTGTGGAGGGAGGCAAATATTTTAAACACCTTTCAGCAGAGACACTTAATGCAGACACGGCAGGAGTTGGCGAGAGGGCTCGTGAGCGTTACTGTTTAGCTTTTTTTCTAGCTTGCTCTTGCCATGCGCCACCTGTCATGGAACTTTCATCACTGAATTGGGAATTGCACCATAATCGTAACAAAACTTAAACACCGTCTCTCGATTACGAAGGAAAAAGTGCAATTTCAGTTGTGCATGTAATCGTGTGTGCATGCAGTGTAGGCATCTCGTGTAAGACATAGCGATGCAGTATTAATGTATTACTGCAAGAGCATACAATTAGAAGGAAAGGAAGGCTATTGTCCTCATTATTATACTAAAAGGAAGGCTGAAGCTTTCAGACTATGGTCATAGTAGGGGCACCTTAGAAGGGAGGACAAGCATTTTTCCAGGTACTTCAGGGTGACTCCTTGGCATAGTTTTAATAAATGCAGAGATTATCTTTCTGCAGGAGTATTTTATTTCTGACAAAAATTCACTGGAACTTGTGCATTCAATGCTCGTGTTTCAAACAAGGTTCATTTGGCTTGTGGCATTTCATACCTCATGGCTGTGGTACCTTGAATAGTGTACAAAAGCTCTAACTGCACTTTTTGAAAGAACCGCAGTTGCTATATTTACTTACAGCTTTTTATAATGTTCCTGTTACTGTCGTGTCCCTACAGAGCCCCCTCACATGTGGAAATATATACACTACCGTTTGGTCGGATGTTTGTACAAACTATGAACAAATGTTTTTTAGGATGTAGTAATAAAGATTTGATTATCACTACCTGCTAGAGATCTATGTCTTGTAATGCAAATACTGTTGGTTGCTATTGTTCAGCCACCGGTTTCCTTGGTGGAGACAAATCTGCCTGGTGAACCTCTGATCTGGTTTGAATCTATTCGAAGTATAAGTTTAAATGTAGCTCAAAATATCTGGAAAAAAGATGGCAGTGTATTTGTGTGCTTCGCTGCAAATGTCAAATTTTCTGCTGGCCAAGCGGCCAGTTTATGTTTGGCCTTGCCTCAGACTGCACCTCCTATATGTTGAATCTGCCACGTCTGACTGGCATTGATAAAATAGAGGAGGTGCTGCTGTGAGATATGGACAGTGCTGGCAGTGCTGCAGGGGAACATAAGCGTCATATGTTTAGCACAGCGTAATAGACACTACAGTCTCTAAAATTGCATATCCATGTATTTTCTAGTAAAGGAACTCGCCACCTAATACTTGCGTATTTGTGTTGTGCCTCAGATATGCATAAAGTACGCTTTTTGATCAACACTCTTCACAAGTATGAACGTAGCCACCTAGTTCAAGATGGCTGGGTGTTCAGCAAGTGCTTGAACTTTAGCCGGATGGCTGAATCAGTGTGACAGACAGACCAAAATTTCTGCATATTTTAAGAAACACTATCATCTTTTAAAAAGAAAACTTGTAGACCTGTAAACCCTAGCAGTTGCTAAACACCATGGTCAAAACGAGAAAGTACTGATAACTGGTGACAAATCTTGACTTGGCTTATTCCTCAATATGTCAACTGCTTAATAAATTCAACAGCTGCATTCTGTAAACACACTATGAACAGAAGATGTGTTCTGGGATTCACACGAGTAATCTGTGCTGCAGAAAGGTTTCAGGATTTCTTTACAAAATAGTAACTAAGGTAGTATTTCAATTCCCATTAGAACATTAAGCACCCTGTGGTTGTCTTAGTAGTTTCAAGTAATATTGCAAGCATGCATAGTCGGAATGAGAAATTGAATGAAGACAGCCTTGCTTTATTTAGTTTTATTGTCCTTTAGTAATTTAGCAGGTTTCCAAAGGTGTAGTGTACACGTATCACGAAGGAGTACGGCCACTAGCGTGGGTTTGCTCTTAGCGAGCCGCAGGGCACGCATGAACCGTCGCCGTGAGAACACGGTACTGCTCAAGGTCGCAACACTTCATTGACTGCTGCAACACCAAAAATGCGGCACAGAGCCCGTTGCAACAGGGGCAGTGAGAATGCAAATGGGCTTATCGACGCTCCAGGTGACAAGTACTACACAGACTGCCACGAGCAGTTCCTTGGCAAAGATGCTTTCACGGGGACATCCGGGCCAAAAGGCCCGGTTTAGCTCGAACGAGTCTGGGGTAAAAACTCCACTCGCGTTGGCTTCTGAGAGATACGGGTCGGCGTAGTATGATCACGCTGCTAGGACACTGCAGCGCTCTTCGGCCTAGCGTTTGGAAGGGGGCTGCAAAAGGTGAGCGTTCGTCGCGGGCGCAAGGCGCCGTTGGCGAAGTCCGAACGAGCCCCAAACAAAGGGAGCCGACGGACTGAAAAGAAATGCGTGCTTACGCCATGTCGCCCGGAAAGGTTCTCATCTCACTCCAGACGCGCGCGCGCGAAACCTCCAGAGAGGCTCTGTGCAAGGCGTCGCAGTCGACATCCGCTACCGTATGAGAGGGATTAAACGTCACTCCTCGCTCCCCCAGCGTGGCAGACCGCGGAGGAGAGGAGAGTCATGTCAAGACATGAGAACTCAGAAAGAGGTGGCAAAGCCCGCGCAAAGGTGGTGGGCTAGCCTTGATTCCCACATCCCCCTCTCCTAAATTTGCCCTTTACTGGTCTGCATGGCTGCCGGACGTCACCCATGCAGTTAAAATGGCACTGCTATAAATCAGCTAACCTCAGTCCAGTCCTGTAACTGCGGGTAAAAAATGATGACAAAGGAGAAAGCAATGATAATAAAATAAACACATGACACCGTAACATGTTCGCGAAAAAAGAGAGCAAAAGAAGTAAGGCTAGACTGCGTGGTGATGAAGCGGGATAGCGTCCACCGCGCGGAGGAGGACGGCAGAGCGTGGCAATGTCCGCTGGCTGCGATGCCCGTGTGCGATCGTCGAGTTAAGTACGGAACGTGCTCACTGCTGGCTCACGACGACGATTGGACTGCGAGCCGGCGAATACCACTTCGGTGGTGGTTCGGAGGTCCTGAATTTCTCGATGAGGGAGCTTGGACGTTGCCGGGAAGCTGGGCCTCTCCAGGGGTCCGGGAGGCCGAACCGGAATCGGCTGCGAGGCGCCATGGTGTTGGCAGGCAGTATAATGCTGCTGCCACTTGACCTCGCGCTGGAGTCAAGGTGGAAGGGGCAGCAGGGCTTATCGGCGACGGCCGAGAGTAGGGCATGGCTGAACTATCTGACGTCACTGGGCCAGGGCCCTGAGCACCTCTTAGTGTCCACGTTGATGGGACGAACAACGACGCGCACTCTTCTCGGGCACGCACAGAAGCGCCACGCACGTACAGACGCACAGAAGCACGCGCACCACACACCGCCGACGGCTGCGCGAGCAAAGCGCAAAGCGTCCTTCGTCCCTCTCCACGCATAAGCACCGATAACATGACATAGCTTTATTTTCCTTAAAGACCTCTGATTGATTTGTGGGGTTTAACGTCCCAAAACCACCATTTGATTATGAGAGACGCCGTAGTGGAGGGCTCCGGAAATTTTGACCACCTGGGGTTCTTTAACGTGCACCCAAATCTGAGTACACGGGCCTACAACATTTCCGCCTCCATCGGAAATGCCACCGCCGCAGCCGGGAATCGAACCCGCGACCTGCGGGTCAGCAGCCGAGTACCTTAGCCATTAGACCACCGCGGCGGGGCCCTTAAAGACCCCTCGAGGGGCTATTACATAAGGGGTGGGTTAACATATAATTTTTTATTGCTACAATTTTTTTTATTGCCATAAGTTTTCATCTCGAAAAATGGGACACATAATCGATCAAAAATGATGATGAGCATTCAGTGGTGACGACATCATGGGGCAGGTCATTCCAGTCTTTTGCTGTCCGAACAAAGAAGGACACAGAAAAGGTGGTCTCCTTAATCCGCGGCCGATGTTCAAGATCACAGCTTCCTTTGCCGGTTGACGAAATAAACACGGAAGAAAAAATTAAACAGAACAATAATGTCACTCAATACATGGCCAAAGGTACGAAAACATAAAATACAAATGAACAATGTGGGAATCGCCGCCTTTGCGCGGGATTAGGCGCCTCTTTCTCTGTTCTCATGTCCCGGCATGACTCATCTCTTCTGTGGTTTGCCGCGCTGGGAGAGCTACAACCCGGTAGCGAGTTTACAAAGGCGAGCGGATAGACCCACCCACAATGCACTGCGCCAGGCGCTCTTACAGGGCTCTCGGAAGCTGCGCGCTCATGGGTTTGTGCGTGATGTCGTCAGCAAACATGGCTGCGCCCAGGACGATGCTGCAGGGGTTCGTGTGTCGGGCTGGGGCACAGCTGATGAGACGCCGCGAAGAAAGCGAGAACAAAGTTGACGCTCGCACGCTTACTGACCGGGCTGCAGCATCGTCATGGGCGCAGCCATGTTTGCTGACGACATCACGCACGAACCAATGAGCGCGCAGCTTCCGAGAGCCTTGTAAGAGCGCCTGGCGAAATGCATTGTGACTTTGCAACGGGCTCTGTACTGTATTTTTGGTTTTGCCGCAGGCAATAAAGTGTTGCGGCCTTGAGCAGTACCATGTTCTCGCCACGGTGATGGTTAACACGTGCCCTGCGGCTCGCTGAGACCGGATCCACGCTAGTGGCCGTACTCCTTCGGGATACGTGCACACTACAACAATTAATATTAGGCAAAGGAAACATAAAATACGCACGAACACTTAAACAAGGAACAATGTACAGCAAACCGGGCTGGGGTGGACTTCTTTCCGAGAACAGGCTGTAAAGAAGCTAACCTATACTGAGGCTAGACAGTAAACTGAGGGCCTTCGGTTGCGAAGAAGTCCGCCGTCCGGCGCGAAATCACAAAGGTGACCACTGCCTCTGATTATACTATTGCGGGGTCCGAATGCGGTCCGCCGCCCCGGATGTGCCCATTGCTTGCGAGAAGTGCCGCTGGCTGCTGGGGCGAGTTCGTCAGACCGGAGACAAAGGGCTTCAGGTCTGTGATATGGGTACGGCTGAGTTTCCCCGAATGGAGATCTTTCAGCAAGTACGCGAGTGGAGTCCAAGCTTTCTCCACTCGGTACGGACTCACTTAGGAGCGAGGTTGAGAAAAATATCCCTTACTCGCATCGCTAAGAGCGTGGTTACGCTTCAGGACAAGATCGCCCACCTCAAAAAGTAGGGCGCGATGCTTGCGGTCATATTGGGCTTTTTTTTTTTTTTTTTGCTAGCTGTGGACGACGCCAAACTTTTCCTTGCTGCAGAAAACTCGACAAAGCCTGCCACTAAGTGTCGACACGTAAGCAGAGCAGTCGATCTGCCTGCATCTCCTCGTCCTCGAGCTGGCATTGAATGACGCTGCAGCATGGTCACCGGATTTGCCAACTCCCTTCCAAAATTTAAGAAGGCGAGTGAGAAACCAATTGAGCGACTCTCGGATGTTCGAATAGCGAACGCGAGCTCACTCAAATGGTTTGCACATTCCCTTTGACTTTCGGCAAAGGCCGCCAACATTTGTTTGAGCGTACGATTGACGCGCTCCGTCGAATTGGACTGGGCATGGTAGAGTGAAGTGGTGCAGTGATTCATTTCGAGGGAACGGCAATTGACACAAAACACCCGAGCGGTGAAATACGAAGCATTGTCCGTGATAAGCCTTTCCGGGAAGCCGAACCTGCAAAACACTTCCTCAGCTTCTCAAGCACCGCTCGCGCTGCCAGCTTCCGAAAAGGGAACAATTACACCAACTTCGAAAAGTGACCAACGAATACCATCAGGTGAATGAACCCCTGCTTACTTCTGGGAAACGAGATTACA